AATTTTATTGAAGAAAACCGAACAAAATCTTCATTCTATTATTTTTACCATTTTTTTATGGAAAGCGTAACCTTAACAGGTAAAAATTATAATAAACAATGCAAACACATTATTTTTTACTCGCAAATCCAAATTGTATGTATTAAAATAATTTTATATTGATTTAAATTTTTTATATATTTTATTACAACTATATTAAACAACTATATATTTTGCCACTAATTCTAAATAAAATCGTTTTTAGCCAAATTTCGGCAATTTTCAAAGATAAAAGTGCTGTTAAGGAAACAATTTTTGTACAACAAATTTTCAAAATGTTTAGGTTTTAGGTATATACAACAAATAAATGTCAAAAAAATAATAAACAGGATTTATTTAAAGAAATATTAAAAATAATTTTTTTATTACTTTTGTTTACAGATTTAAGAAGTAGTACACGCGCCAGGAGCAGAAATGACTACCATTATTGACATACGCGGTTGATTTAAGTGTCATTTTAACAATGTTTATATAATTTGTTAAATTTTGTAAATTTCATTAAAATCGATCAAAAATTGTTCGCGTAACAGTACTCTGAATTTTGAAAATTGCTGAATTTCGACTAAAAAAATTGATTTCGTTAAAATATCTTTATAAATGTGTATAATTTATTTTTTGTTTAATTAGGACTCATAGCTACATTTCCATTGACGCTTGATTGAAGTATTTGAAAAAACAATATTTACGAATTTGATTGTTTGCATATTGAAAAAAACTGCTTTTCTCACAAATTCGCAAGAGCAAATTAAGCAAAATGGTCATTATTGGAATCAGTGCACACAAATTACCCCAAAAAAGTTGTTGACAGCTGCTGTCAGACAGCAGACATTTTATTTTGCCGGCATTTTGGGCGCCCATATCTGGGGCATAAAATTATATTAATAAATATTTGTAATTATTGCAGATAAGTTCAAAGTCAAAGAAAACAATGATTTGAAATCCCTGATATAATTTTTTTGTTACAGAATTTTTAAAATGTCATGTCATGATCAGCTGACAATATGGGAACATCACTGAACCTATAGATAATAAATCCTCCCCTTATCCAACAATTAACATTTAATTATGAAGATTGAAGCAAATTATTAGAAAATGATCTTTTCAAAATGTATCTCACATCACACACAGCTTTTTCACAAATAAAAGGTGCCCAAAGTTTTTACCACATGAACTTAATTATGGTTGGAGTATAGTTACCTACCACCTGTATAAAATACCTACTTATTCATAATTAAATTTTGTACTAATATACTTTGTACTTTATGAACATAAGAAACAAATTATTAACAATTAAGGAACCGGAATTTAAAGACAATTTTATTTCATATTTTATCTGACATTTGGCATTTGTCAGACAATTTCAACTTAATTTTTTCCAATTTTATAATACTTTTTTTTTCTTTTTTAGGTGAACTTTATTTTAACTTTTTTTATTATTATTTTTATTACCATTTAATAAAAATTATGAATAATATTTAATTTAAAAGTTCATCTGGTAACCTTAGACCTTGGTAGTTTAAAAAATTAGCTCTAAACAGGTTTTATCTAAATTTGTTATTTTTTACAAAATAACCAACAAAGCTTGATTGATTACACAGACTCAGGACCAAACTAAGTACACTAAGTTCACTCACTTAACATTATTTAGATTTTTTTTTACCAAAACCAAAAAACGATTTTTACGAAAGATTTTTAATTAACTTACCGTTTTATAAGTAAACCACAACTTTTGACACCCCTTGCCGTAGTTCAAAAACTACATTTTTAGACCCACTCTACTATATTATGTATAATTTAAATTTATTTTTATTTTGTGTTATTTAGAAAATACTCCTTATAATAATTATTTATAATATTAATATTAATTTAACAATAATAATATGGTAACTGGTTACTTGGACGGTCTTACAATAAAGTATTTATATTAATATTTGGTAAGCAGCTTTTATGTGTAAGTATACTATAATAAATAAATAAATAAATCGTTTATTAGCGAAAGCTATAAATGTTACATTTTATATATAAATATACTTATTATCACAATCCAAAAGCCATTTTAAATTTACTATAATTTGACTCACTTTTAATTATCACAGGTAAGTTATTAAACAAAATTAGACCATTATAGAATATTGTTCTATAAAGAGCACAACCACTTGCTGTATCCACATAAAATTCACTTGCTGTTCTCGTGTTATATTTATGAACATTATTAACAAATATTAATTTGCTATATAAATAAAATGGTGTCATTTTATTTTTTATTTTATAAACTAAATCAAGAGTACAGTATAAAAGTCCTTGGTTAACATTCATAAAATTGAGGACTTCCAACATAATATTAATTGGAGTATATCTGTTACAATGCAAGATTGACCTCATATAAACTTGGAATTGTTCCTTTTCATTTTTATTTAAAAGAAATAATATAGAGGCACAATAATCCAAGTGTGGCGCTATAATGGATTTATACAACAGGATTTTAGTTGACATACTTAGATAATTACCCATTCTTCTCATAAAGTTAATTTTTTTGGACATTTTATTCATTATTAGCAAGGCATGGCTTTTAAAACTAAGATTTTCATCTATGTTTACACCCAGGTATTTAATTTTATGAACTTTTTCAATTACAATATTATCTATTTTAACTTCATGTGTGAGATTTCTAAGCTTTGAAATAGCAAATTTTTTTCCTATTAACATATATTTAGATTTACTCAAATTTAAACATAAATTGTTATCACAAAGTCAACCATATAATGATTTAAGATCATCATTAATACATTGAAACATTATCTAAATTATTACCTGTAAACTGCAACTGCAAACATGCACAATTTACATTTTTGTACATGATAAACTATATCATTAATGTATAAGTTGAAAAGAACAGGACCAAGTACAGTTCCCTGAGGCACACCATATTTAGTTTCTAATTTTTCAGATAAACAGTTTTTGTATTTTACTTTTTGCAATCTATTCTTTATAAATATAGATAAGACTTGAACCAATTTAAAACACTGCCTCCCAGTCCTATTCCTTTCAACTTACACACCAATAAATCTTTATCCACAGTTTCAAATGCCCGTTTAAAATCCAAAAACACAGCTACCACAAATTTATTATTTTCTAAACATTTGTACCACTCATCACATACATTAAGTATAATTTGTATCACAGAAATTCATTAGTTGATTCTTAACCTCAACTTCTAAAATTTTTTCATAAATTGTTACAGTATTTATTGGTCTATGTTCTTCCACTAAAAATGTGTTTGGAACTTTAGGAACAGGGATATCTACTGAAACTTTCCAATTATCTGGAAAAACTCCAGTTTGTAAAGATTGGTTTACCACCTCAATAAAACGATTTCCAACAACTTTGAATCTTTTATCATTCAATTTTATCTTCAATGTTAATTGTGTTTTTTAATTTCATTATGATTTTTCTTAGTTTATGCATTGTTATATTTTCAAACTGATTTAATTCATTTTTTTGCTGAATATTCTTTAATGTTACTTCATAATCAATTTTTGTTTTAATAGTTTTTACTATGTCACTGATACTTGCCAAAAAATAATGATTAAATTTTGATGCTATTATGTTTGGATCAGAAGCTTCAATATCATTAAACCTTATTGTGTCCTGCATTGCACCTGCTTTATTTGGTAATAATTTTTTTAATTCTTTCCATAACTCCATATTGTTTTTGCTATCTTTAATTTGATTTTTGTAATACATTTCTTTGTTAATCCTTATTTTTGTTGTAATTTGGTTTCTCTTTAGTTTATATAATTGCCAGTCTTCCTCAGTTTCAGTAAATAAATATTTTTTATACTAAATATCTCTCTCCCTTATTAATGATATTATTTCTTTATTAATCCATTTTTTTGTTTCATGACACTAAAATTTTAACTTCTCTAATTTCGCTAATTTTGTCTATTGATTGTTTTATGTTAAATTCCAATTGTGAAGATAATAAATTTACATTTATAAAATTGTTATTCCATATGGTTTTATTTATTTTTTCTTGAAATCTATCTGTGCTGTAATTTGTTAAATTTCTTATTTTTATACTTGAATATTTATTGTTAAGTTTATTTATATTATCTTCGATATCTATTGTCAATATATTATGATCACTTATCCTCGGTGTTGTAAGAACTTCATGTTTTAGTTCTTTTTCATTTTTTTTGATGTAATCAATTATGGTTGAACTGTTATGTGTTGTTCTAGTAAATTTTTTAACTATTTGATAAAAACCGTGTCTGTAAATTATTTCTTTAATTTTTTTGCTATAAAATCCATCTTTTGAAAGATCAATATTAAAGTCGCCATTTATTATTATTTTACCATTAAAATCCATGCTTTCTAAGTAATCATCCATAAACTTTAGAAATATATTATCCTTTTTTTTGTGGAGGATGGTATAAACTTACAATCAAATACTTTTTGTTTCCTAACCATGTTTCTATAGCTAATAACCATAAATAGTCTTCATAAACTTTATTACAGATAACTTTATACTTGAGTTTTTTTTCAATATATATTACTACTCCACCTGTTCTAGAGTTTTTTGTCGCGCACTTTATAATTTTATAGTTTTAAATTTTTATTTCCTTGTCATAAATTTCTTCCCCTAAATATGTTTCAACAAGACATAATAAATGTGGTTTCCATTGTTTAGCTAAAATATTTATTTGATCGATATTGTTTAGCAAACCCTGACAATTAAAAGCTACAATTTTATTATAAACATTTGGCATTAATTGCTATATATTATAGTTAATTCTTTTACCTGCATTTTCAACAGCTCTTTTAAAGCAAGGACAATTTTCATCGTAAGCTGCATGATTTATATAAAAAGAAAAAAGATATTTAAGGCCAACTACATTTATGTGAAAGCTTCTAAGCCGGATGGAAATAAATAACTGGTGCAAAAAATAAAACAATAAATCCTTGTATACACCTATAGCTGGGCTTTCTCTATAGGGTGTAAATATTTATTATTTTTCATACATATATACAAAACAATTGATTTATAATACCCTGCCTAAAACATCTAAGCAGAACAAATAAATACAAATATTTATAATTCGACCATTGTTGATACAGTTGTAGACCATTGGCATTTTGATTTTCGGAAGCCTGGGATGTAGGGAAAAAATATTTCTTTAAAAACTTCTCGAAATTTTTGTGACATAATACAGTAGAGAAAAAAGTTTATTGAGCAGTAGAGAAGAGCTATTAAATCCAGAAATCCACCTGAAACAAAAAAACTATATAAATATTTAAAGTAAAAAAATAAAAAAATACCATTCCAACGTTTTACCATTTTTTAATTGGACCTTTATTATAAAAACGTTTTTAATTATTATTCAAGAAAATATAAGGATCATAAAATTGTTGTTAAACTCCTAATAATTGGTTTTAAATATAAATAAAATAAAAAATGTATGACCTAACCATAATAATACCTACATATAAAAATATATATATATATATATATACAACTATAAACACATCACTAACAAAATTTGATAAAAGTCAAACACCACATTCCATCATTCATGTACACCTTAATGACATAATTGACAAATATCCTGGATATGTCCAAGTTTATACAGATGCTTCCAAATCGAATCAAGGAGTGGGAGCTGCATTTGTCACGGCTAATACTGAACAAACCTTTAACATGTCCAAACTATGCAGCATATTTACAGGAGAAATGTATGCTATATGGGAAGCATTAAAACATATAAAAGAAAAAAAAATTCACCCATATTAACAGACTTACTTAGTTCAGTAGAAGCGTTAAAACAACTATACCCTAAAATTAACTTAGTAAAACTGGTCAAGCAAGAGCTGTATAATATCCAAAATCAGAATAATGAAGCTATTTTCATATGGGTACCATCCCATATTGCTATAAAAGGCAATGAACTAGCAGATCAAGCCGCAGCCCGTGCACTGACTAATGCGGCCTGCATGGAACAAAAAATAACAGCCGCTGATTTAAAAACACACATCATACAAAAAAACACTGAAGTATGGCAACGTATTTGGGAGCAAGGGGATGCAAAGCTACGGGAACTAAAACCTTTTACCTTACCTTGGCCTTCTATGAAAAACAGAAAAGAGGACATTATTTTAACCAGACTGAGAATAGGAGAGGTATATTCTGTCTTATGTTAACACCTGCTAATGACCCTTTGAGGTAGAAGCAGAAACTCAATAAATAAATAAAATAAAAATCTATCAGTTTGAACAGGGTCTCTATGTGACATTTTAACCAGGGTTACCGCTTATATTTAAGTGTTAAAAATTGATATTTTTTTTATAGTATCACAATTACTAAGGTTGGTTTAGGAATTTAGGAAAATAAATTGTGCATTTAATGAAATTGTGTGGTTCCAAATAAGTAATATTTTTGTGCATTTGGTATACATATCTCGTTTTCTCCTTAAAAAAAGGTTTAACTAAACAGAATTTATTAAAAAAAGCCAAGCCTCTGTATAATAGAATTAAAATATTTGTATCAAACCTTAGTTTATATTTGTAAAGAAAATATTATCTAATTTTGTAATTTTAAGGTTAGAAAAAACCTTTTTTGACCAAAATAAATAAGTATTTTAAAGATTTTGGTTTACCTACTAAACAATTGTTGAATATGGTTCGAGTCTGATATCGAAGATATCGAACAATACTCTAGTATTGTTAGATCTAATCACTAGGGTATCTAAAAATGGTAGCTGGCTATCTTTTTCCAATTTAAATGTAAATTTAATAAAAGGAATACAATTATTTAATTTGAAAAAGAAATAAATAATTTAAGCTGCAAGCGTTTTGATCGAAAATAGCAAAGATATCGTCCACGGTATTGAACCACTGCACACAACATAAGCAGGATAGTTTTAACTTTCTTGTTAGTAGGTTAAACTTTCCACTTAGTAACAGCAGATACAAGAAAGAGCTCACTTTTATAAAAGACATTGCTAGAGACAATGGTTTTGAACCCACCCTAGTAAGTTACTAAATAAAATTAAATTTTAGTCTCGCCTTTATAGGTTAACGACTTTTTAACCAGAGCCATTAGAGCCCACAAAACTCTAGTTTATGACTATTCCTTTCGAACCCCAGTACACCCGAAAAAGTGGAAGGAATTTTTCAAAAACTAGACTACATAATTTCTTTTAGTTCAAGCAGTAACACACTTCAGGCCCTTTTACGCAACCCCAAAGATAAGATTCCTAAAATTGAAAAGTCGGAGATCTACGAAATAAACTGTTAAGATTGTGACAAGAAATATACTGGATCCATCCATGTAAGGTTCAAAAAGCACTTGGCCCACGCTAGATTTTGGTAGGACAGAAAAATCGAGTGTTGCCCAACATATACTTGATGATGGTCATAGAATAGGATTTGACAACCTTAAACTTATTAAGGAAGTTATTGAACCAAGTCTGCTAGATAGTAACGAATGTTTATACATTTTTAAGAATACAAATAAATATTTAAATAGTGATAACGTACCGGTACCCAACTCTAGTTTGAATAAATTAGTTTCTTTTTACGTGTTCATTCAAGCGGTTACGGTCTACGGTTTAGTAAACTGTGTCCGTTCACGGTTTAGTTAACCTATAATTAGTATAAATATGGTAGATTTAGTAGTAAGATTTAGTTACACTTCGCTTCTAAAGATGCCAACATCGTTGGCGAAAAGTACTTTTTCTACTCCTATTATGGAATTTGACCGTTCTAATATCACTTTTATCTATGGAATGACATTTATTCCGTAAAGTGTTACAGAATGAAATATTCTATCATCTCATGACAGAATATACACTCGTGGCAACATCTCTGTTTTTAATATCTAACAAATTTTAGACCGATCCAACCTCACTTTCTTTCAATTAAATTATTTGTCTATGGTATTTTTTGGAAACGTAGAAAAAGTATAGTCTGAAACAAGTTTGGAATTGCATATTCCCCTCTCGTGAAACCATCAAACTCGCCTTCGGCTCGTGTGACAAACTTTTCACTCGAGCGGAATATGCCGTATTCCAAACTTGTTACAGAATATACTATTAAGCACTTTGTGTTTTGTTTTGGTGTTGGGAATATTTCCAATATTTGATTAACATTGACGTTGACATCGTATTTTTACTGAATTAGTGTTTTGTGCATCAATAGTTACTGTTTTATTTTCTCCGTGTACCTTTTTTTTATTAACCAAAGGTCGACCCAAAGGTGCATTGTGCTGGTTTACTGGCTTAGTCCCATCTAGGGACCTCCCATCTCGGCACCTTTCCCAACTCGGGACCCAGACCCTAAGCCATAAAGTTTCCAAAATTAAAAAGTCCCATCTCGGGACCTATAAAAGGTAATACATTTTTATACCTTTCATGAACAAAATACTTAAGGAGGCTGCACGGCTTTTTGTTTTTAACGGGACACTTTAACTTATTTTATATTAACAGCACAACAAAAAATTAAAAATATTTAATACTATAGGTTTATATAATTTGTTTCATATATTTCGTCGGTTTGGAACAAAACTGTGATATAAAAACTATAGCTGTAAACGTTTATTTAAAATATGCACTCTGATGCATTAATTTAAAAAAACTGAACGACACGTTGTAAAATTTCCATACTTTGTTTTGCTCCAAATCTATATTTTTCAATGGTACTTTAACTTCTTTTATATTAACAGCACTTAATAAAACAGCAACAAGAAATTAAAAATATTTATACAATTTGTTTAATATATATACATACTGCAATAATTTTAAATAAACTGAACGATACGTTGTAAAATTTCTATACTTTGAGCTAGTGAAACTGGCGTTCGCCGAGTCCGGAATAGCAGATGAGTCCTGAAAAACTTCATTTAGGTACGTGTGACAAACACTATTTTGTGTCATACGCTTTTTACAATTATTCAGAACGCTTAAATTTGAAAATTTTCCATAATATTTAAATATTTTCGAAAAAGTTGGCTTAGAAATAATTGATATCGTAGCATCAAGTTTGTTGATTTAATAATTTGGGAATGTTATTCGAAATTTGTTAGAAAGTCACATAAATTTTAAAATGTTTCAAAATCCAGAATATATTGCTACTAAGGCTAAGAAATCGTGTTGGATTTACTTCCTTTGAAGTCTCGTGACATTTACCATAAAGAATATGATGCTTTTATTAAATGGAAACACGAAAATGGCGTAATCGTTGTAAATGAAGATGTATTGCTAAATTATTTACACAAAAGAGTAAGTAAAGATTTAAAAACCTAAACTTAGTTACGCAAGATGTATTTTGAGGTTTTTAAATTAAAATACTCTCTTAAATTACACAAACGTTCAAACCGTCGACATTTTGGTCGAAATATGTTAAAGAACATATTCATATCGACAAATTTCCAAAAGTTATTGCTTTTTTGAAGAGTAATTCGGTTGGTGGGCCTAAAAAGTCTAAGAAATTTTGGAATAGTCCGGAAAGGTTGCCATGGCGACTTTTAGGGACTAGGCCGAAAAAGAAGCATTTTACGTAAAATAGCTATTTTTGGGAGCAAATGACAAAAAAATTGTTTCGGTCCACAATATGGCTTGTGCAATAATTTATTTTTATGAATAATAATAATAATTATTTAATGAATTAATTTTTAATTTGTTAAAACATTTTGTTATTGAACTTATTTTATCTATTTCATTTAGAAAACAAATGAAAAATAATTTATTTACCTAAGAGAATCTACAAATTTTGCAAGGAAATACTTTGAATTGGTGAAAGTCTTGATTTAAAGATTTAAAGTACACGAATAAAACTGATTTTTTAAATTGCATATAAGAAGTTTAGGAATGATTACTAAACAATCAAGGAAATTGGGTATTTTGGGAATAAGCGCTTTTGCCTGTAACAAATGAACATTAACAAATAAATAATAATAATTTTAGTCTATTTTATTATTTTATCTTATTATTACTAGGCAACGAAGATAAAATAAAAAAAAATATTTTTTAACTTCCTATGTGTAAAAATTGTAAGATTTATACTCTTTTGTTTCCTACAAAAAAGTAGTATACGACACAAATAAACAGATAATGCTATGCAATAATTTTATAACAAATATTTGTAAACAGATAAAGATATAGCAAGTTAAGCCATTCGCCGGGTACGACGTTCGTTGTCCAAATTTTTGTTAGAAGTATCGTAAATTTCCTCAGGGGCTTCCTTTAGTAGTTCGTTTTGAAGTAGGTCTATTC